AAGGAGCTTTTGAAAGTATGGAATGACAATAGGATTTGAAATATTATCAATTCCTAAAAGCTGTATAGTACCACTGAAGGTATAGGGTATTGTTTGGAACACCGAAACAGATGAAATAAGTTTTGACATTGTCAGAGGAGAGACAGGACACAAAAAGAAGCGTTTTAAAATTAGCATGCAAAGTTTATGTGGATTAATTACACTATTTGTAATTGGTGTTTGTAATTGTGTAGTGATGGGTGAAAGGTGTAGCATGTGATGAAGGGTTAGGTGGGATTTGAAAGTTAAATGGGAAAACTGGACATTTCTAAATTGGAAACTTTATCAACGCCTGGATGATATTTCAAAACAGAGATAACCGAATTTCAATTACATATTTTTGTCGACGCTACTGAGTTAACACACCGAGTAGTCGCTACAAAAGATCAGATGGAAATTTCGAAATTAGCTTTGTAACATCTAAATCAAATGTATCGCCAGTGAAGAAGTTAATCTTGCTACGGTTAGAGTTGATAACAACGCTGATTGCAGCAAGATTACGCAACTTCTTTAAATCCATTTTTCACAAGAAGGATGATTACTCCTTATAGACAGATTCCACAGTAGCCTTCTGCCGAATTCTCGGAAATGCCCAATAGTGGAAGTTTTTATCTCGGATAGAGTCGCTTAAATTTAAGAAATAACCAATCCATCGAACTAGAGACATTGCAATAGTCGAGTTAATCCAGCGAATGTAATGTCAATGAAAAATGCATCTGATAAACAATGAAAAATTATGAGAGCCCAACTGGTTAAAACAACCTGAAGAAACATGCCCTCACAGTAAAGTTGAAATTGATTCTTTGACTATGCACAAAAGAAGATCAAAATTTAAAATATCAGATGCGATATTTGACGAAAATAAGAAAGAGAAGAATCGCCTGCTAGATTTGAAGAAACATACTTCAATTACAAAGTTGTACAGAATAACAGCCTATATTAGGAGATTCATATTTAAGGCGAGAAGCAAAAACAGGAAAATAGAATTCAAGCCGAATTAAGTGCAAGTGAAATTGCCGACGCAGAAACCTACTGAACCAAGAAATTATAGAAAGAAAAATTTCTGGAACTTAAAATTAAAGATGCTCATGAGAAGGTATATCACGCAGGAATTGCTGATACGCTAGTCCAAACTCGAGAAAAATTTTGGGTTATGAGAGGAAGACACAGCTAGTCCTCTCTTTGTGAAGAACAGTTGCAGTAAATTTTATATACTTTTTACTTGTGCCTTTACGTGAACAATCCATTTAGAATTGTTTCAAATATGATTTAACGTATACCTATTCAAAACCAGAAGAACCATTTCCCTTAGCGTCTACACATTTCTTATTTGAGAGAAGAATTTTGAGTTAACTGAGCAATTCAGACTTTTTAAACAAGGATATTTTATTGAAACGTTTTAATTATAGAGAACACTTATTGAATTTGTTCTGGAAAAGATGGAGAAGCGAATATCTGACGAACCTAGAATCAGCACACACAGCGCAGAGTTATTACTCCTTTTGGGCTGTTACAGTTCTTAGGCTATTCTATTATACCGTATCGAAAATTTCTGTTTTCAGCTATGGATTCAAGAAATAAAAATTCCGTTCTTGATCGTACTGTGATATCGTCTTGAGCTATGATTTGGTGGACGGAGTTAACTCCTTTAGCTTTAATTTTCAACAGGGTTACGTCGTCGGAGGTAGAATGCAGTTTATTATTTTTAAAGTCCAATGGAAAATTGTACTTTCTTAAAAAGTCTAATTCGAGTATGCAGGGGTCTGTAATATCTGCCACATATGCGGTGTGATGGTAGTCGACACTGCCGAAACGTGATACCCTAACGTTTGACTTTCTGTGGATGTCGATTTTATCACTGGACCTGGAAGGTAATGTAGGGCGGCGTTCAAATGAGTTTACATTCTAACTGTAGAGCCAAATCTTTTCGGGTGATAGTAACATTGGCTCCAGTATCGATGGTCATACTGCAAGGAACTCCACTGATATGTCCCATAATGAATAAACCATTATTGTCGTTACTCATTGCAGAAATCTGAAGCGCTTTAAAATGTGACTTCTCAGTATCCGGCAACATCCGGCCCTCGAGATGGCCGCTAATTAGTTTCCCTCCTCTTTGGGAGCGGTCTTAGCTCTTATGCCTTGGGGTGTTTTGCAGTGTTTCCGTACATGGCCTTCACCACGGCAGTTCCAGCACTTTAGAGTTGGTTCGTTATCACTCCTATTTTGACTCAAGGCATTGACTTTCCTTGTTAAATTATCTAGACGAGCAGCCATTTGATCCACTGGCTCTTGGACTGGAGCAGTTCTTGATCGGGTGTTGGTCTTTATAATTTGGCTGCTGGACTGTCTCGAATTTCATAGCGCACACTAAGGCGCTTTTTAGATCCTTGACATGCGCCATTCGCAGAGCTTTCTGTATGCCATGATCCCGTATGCCATCGATGAAGTACTGCAGGGACAGAACTTCCCTTGTTTCTGTTGGGCAGTAGGAAAAGGACAGATGAGACAACTTTTCAACATCTGGGACGAGCTCCTGGAGTGTTTCTGTGGCCTTCTGCTAGCGAGATTTTAATTGAAGCCTTCTATAGTCTTTTAAACAATTCTCGCCAAAGCGCAGCTGCTACGCACCGGATAAAGCTTTGAAATCTAGCCTCTGGTTTTCGGGCAGAGTTTGAAAGATATCCGCTGTCACTGCTCTCAGAGAAGGGGCGAGATAGCAGGCTGTTAGCTTAGGAATCCCATCCAATCGCGTCCGCTACTGTAGAAAACTGAGTCTTATATACTTGTTAAGAAGTCTCTCCACCATAAGTGAGCAGCTTTAGAGAGTATCCAGAAGGTATGGGTAAAAATTTAAAACCGCCAGAATTGCTTCCTGCTAGTTCTTTAAGCTATCAATTTTTTTCGCGACAACTGTATCCCATTCCAACGACTTTATTCCATTTTCACTGTAATGAGTCTAATGCCACCAGATGTATAGAGAAATGATAATGCTTTAATTCAGCACAAAGCCAATACTTTAAATCCCTTTCTTGCTGCTAAGTCTATAGAGGGAGTAAAGCTGCTAAGTCTATAGAGATAATAAATTTCATAAATGTCATTCTTGCAAGAAATTTAATTAATGTAAAGAATCAAGTAATAGATGATTACCATGTATAAATTCCAAACTCTGAGAATTCCAACTATAATGAGGTATACACAGTAAACATGACTCTTGATAAGAAATCTAGGAGGACCACAAGAACTTATGACCCATAGGCCACAGTTTCAGAAATGCTGGACAATAGAACTCTAATAATTGAAAAGAAAAAGCATGACTTCCAGAAACTGCTTAAATTAAAAAGCATTATCATATTTTCTTTTAATAATTAGTACAAATAAATGTTACTTCACGTATTTATACCTATTGTCATTTTCCTTAATCCTCATTAATAAAATATTAATGATTACAATTATAATCCACTTTTCCTAACTTGAAAGTTAAGATGATGACATACTTAGCTGAAAAACCCAGATTCAGTTTTTTCAAGATGCAGAAAACTGCACTACAGTAAAACAAAATATTTGTATAACATATACTACCACATTAAAAATTAACTTTAACACATTAAGGATTATTTACTTGCATGTGTATCAAGTTTATCCCTTGTTTTAAAAAAATCTTATTTTCCAGTTTTATATTTTTTACAAATTTGTAAGGCATATTTTCCATTCAATAATGGTGTACAAGTGTTACACTGCAAGTGTTCTTTAGAAAAGTATCAAGTACTGAAAGTACAATTTGCTTTTTTTTTTTTTTTTTTTTTTGTTCTGTATTCCTCTATAGTAAGTAATAATACATTGAATTGGTTTATTAGCACTTTGACTAAAATGTGTTTAATATACTTATAAAAATTTACAAGCCCAGTATAAAAATTTCAGTTATAGTTTCTTTTAAATGCATAAAGCTTATAGCAACCTAAATAAAATCTTTTATTAGTCCAAAAGGGTATTTGTCTCAAAACAGCATTTTGTGTTGTTTCACTTTTCAAACGCTTGCCACCAAATATTATCTGCATGTATTATGTTTAAAGAAACTAAATAATGAATAATCTGCATGAATGTTTCTTGCATTGTGAAAAAACAACGATACCCAGAGCCATTCAATTTTGAATAACATAATCCTCCAACTCAACATGGGCAATTGGAAGTCCAAATTTTGAACTTGCTTTATTATCTATTTAAAATTTTGTAAAACAGTAAGGAATTTTTGATTAACGAACTCGACGATTTCAAAGCGAGCAATGGCAACACTGTAAATAAAAGGAAAAAAAAAATTATCTCTTGCGCCTGAGATTGTGTATTGGAAATTCTAAAGATATGCTCTTTTTAAATTATTTTGTGATATTGCTGTTGAATTGAATTTTATGGTTTAAATGCAAAGAACATGATATTTAATAAATAAAGGTAACACACAAAACGTAAAAAAAAAAAAAAAAAAAAAAAAAGCGCTCTTCTGCGGCAATAGGTCGTAATATAAAATCTGGAAGCTTTCAGATTTGTAGTTTTTTTTAATTTATTTTTTAAAAATGCAAACTTAATTTGCTATCAGAATGATGTGTTTATATGTATATTTAATATTATTGCTAAGAATGACTATAACAAGAAACATTTGTGAGTAATTAAAAATATTTCTTTCATATGTTCTTGGGATGCAGGAGTTATTATATTATTTCAGTAAATTAAAAATCTCATTGTTCAAGTTTAGGTTAGCGCACAATTTAATTTTTAATTATTTCCTAATCTCCTGTTTCTAAAAATATTTCTTAACAATATGTTTTAAATAAAAAATAAAACTAACCTCTCTTGCATCTGAATACATATTTAGGTATCATAACACATTAATATATATGATATTTAACAAAATTAAATAACTCACTAAAAGGCAAATTACTTATTAAAAATTCCATTTTAATTTTGCCATTACAAGTACAGGATACAAAATTGAAATTTAAATTTTATAAGTAAAAAATAAAATAAAAAAAATAATATTTGACAAAATATATGTTACTTATTTTCAGTTTAACATAAATATTCTCACACATCATTTCTCTAGTATAGAAACATCCAATATTAATTTTTACTTTAGGTACACAATACAGGAATATGTCAATCTACTGTAAAATACTTAAAACCTAGTATACTCAGCAAAAATACAAAATTTTTTATATAAATTATGAACCACTTGAAGAATATATCTCATTACAATTCATAAAGTGGATCTAGCCCATTTTTCAAAAATATTATTTTTATAAAAACTATATTTGTATAATAAAGCATGGTTTAAATATTAAACAACATTTTATCAAAACACAGATGATGTATAACAAATGATACTATTAATTTGATATCAAACAGGAGATGCAAGATCAAGAGTTGCTTGTGATATTCAAAGAAGAGATGCAAGTTAATAGTATCACCTAAAATTGGCTGATAAATATAATAATTCTCTCTTATTAACTTCCTATACAATACACTCAAATCAAAGTTTTGAAAATTAATTTGAAATAATAATTTCTTTAAATTTAAAATCATTTAAGCCAATAAAAAAGTATATTTTATTTAAACATGATTAGTGAGTTAAACAATCAAACAGATCATTTTTATTACAAATGTAATAATTTAAAATATGCCTTCATGTCATAAGTAGAGTAAGATAAATTTACACAAACTCGTACAAAAGATATAATACAGTTAATGCTTGGCAATAGTGTGGTTTCAAGATGGTGTAGCTTAAAAGATTTACTTTTTCTAGACAAAATATATATATATAAGAAAAACTGAATTACCATTAGACATTTTTTAAAATAATAATTTTGCATACATTAAAACAAAAACATATGTATGTCAAAAATATATTGATATAAACAAAAATAAATGGTAGCTTTAAAAAAGCTTTGCACTGAAAGAAGTAATTTCGATTTACAGCAAATTATAGCCAAAAGCCATCAGAAACAATTTTATTAAGAATATTTAGTTTTTAATTTAAAAATTTAAAAAACAATCATATATTTAAATTTTCGTCTTCATTCAGCTGAATAAATATTTAATTAAAAAAAAAGAAAGAAAAACATTTCTATGAAATATATAACAAAATAATCATTAGTTAAAATTCTTTAAAGTTAGAACATGACTGAAGTTTAGTAACCCATAGCACAGCCATCTGAACGTGGATCAGATCCTGTCCACCAAATATTTTCTGTTAAAGAAGAATTTCTTATCCAAAGAACAGGGCGGGCAATTACATGACCCTTTCCAAATATTTCTCGTTTAGGCCCAGAATAAAATTCATCACAGACTTCATGACCATAATTTTGAAGAACAGGAATAACAGATGGATTGATACCTTCTTCTAAGTACAACATATTCAGTGTGTTCCTAAGAAGAAAAAATAATAAAATAAAACTATGTTAGCGGTTTTTGTGGGAAAAAAAAAAAAAAGAATTAAAAGTATAAATGTGGAAAGAAATTAATATTAACTTGTATGTCAATAATGTCTTTGACTCTCCTACAAAAAAGCGTGGTTGGTTCAATGCATTTTGAGGATCCATGCCAAAGATTATCATGTTTATAAGCACCTAAAAGAAATTGAAAACATTGCAAAAGATTTGCCCATTTTGATAAAACCTGAAAACTTAGTATATATATATAAAAAAAAAAAAGCACAAATATGCAAAAATAACAAAACTATTTAAGTTCATGAAACCTTATCTATGATCAAAAATTTGCAATCGTAATTCTTTTGATCATCACCTAGATACATACTTTTGGGTCAATACTATATTCTTTTATTAAACTGACCTGCATCATCCTCTTTATTTTTAAAATTTCCATTCTTTTTAAAATTGAAAATTTTCTTGCTGCTTTCCACTGAAGATTTCTAAAAATTAGCCATATCCAGATGACATTTGTTGTTACTTTAATTTACACTTTTCAGTTACTCGTCAGTTTTACTAGTAACCAGTGATTAACCATCTCAAGTTTGTCAGCATTTATCCCCAAACAATGCAGTAAACTTAAACCATAAGCAAAACCAAATAAAAGTTTTTCATGTTCCATTCTTTCATAGTAATTTGAGATGTTTCTTCATTTTATAAGTTTTCATGCTTGTTAAGTGCATCCTAAGATGATGACAATTTTCAGTTTCTCATCAACTGGAAATGATGCTATTGCATTTTTCCAAGATTACTCTCAATCTGAATTTGGAAAGATTAGCATGAAATTAAGTTAACCACTGAAATATATGGAAATGCAATCCGAAAAACTGCCAGAAAGGTCATCGTACTGTTAATCAGCAATCATTCAGCATTACTGGATTATTTTGAAATCATTATAAATACTGCAGTAAAGTACTTGATGTCTTATTAGTCACTTTGCTGATTCATGGCCACTGAAAAAAATTAATTCTTTTTTTCTTTCAGTATTCTGTTACAATTCCGTTATTTAAATGTGCTATTCTAACTTTTTGTGTGTGTGGGGGGGAGGGAAACACAGTGTCTGCACTTTTGGGTATTTTCCCTTACTTGTCAGTAAAAACAACAACTACCACTTTTTTAGTGGTTTAGTGGTTCTTTAACTAAATGGGGGTATTGCCTAAAGAACAAATTAAATGCTAAGTGCAAAACTGAGCAGAGAATAGAGGTTGAGATATCATTTCTGCTGAATATACAATGCATTTCAATTGTCAGACAGAAAAGGGGAGAAGAATGCTGCTATATCTACAAACCAATTCTTACCTTTTGTTTGAATGGAATTCATTTTATTTTGAATGTCTCATTAGAACTTGTTTATGACTGTGAAATTTTACTTCTGAGACAAATGATGATGTTTAACAAAAAATGAGAATGGCTGTTTCATGGAAGAAGCTTTTCGTGACAAATGATAAGTCAAAACTTTAGAGTAACTGGAAATTTTCATTTAACAGTTTCAAAGGATCTATACATGGTTTTGTTATGCAAACAGCTTTTTAAATAATCACATTGTTTAATTTCAAAACACAGTTAAAATATATAGATATAAAACAAAATAATAACAAATGAATTGAATACCTGCACGTGCCCTTGTGGTTGCATCCAACGGCCAATAACACCGAACACAGCAATTAAATCATTAGTAGCATCATCTGTAACTAAACCAGGAATAATTGTATGAAGTGGAAGTTTCTCGGGACCATAAACATTTGGGCTCCTTTCATCCAAACTCAAACACTTGGCACGGTCCTATAAGAGCATGCATTTTAAATATTTTAAAATTAAATATTATGAAAGAAAATTTTTGAAATGCTCTCTAAAGCTTTGCTAGAAACTTTTACAGCATTACTTCATTCAATACACAAATTAAATCCATTAATTTTCCTTTACTTTACACACAGGAATTTTCTTTGAAGATTATTTTTTAAACATTTTTTTAAAGATTAAATAAATTTTCAGATTTAATCTAATCTATATCAGTAAGAATTTATGAACTTTTCATGATGCTTAAGATTTTATTGTTATTATATTAAATATTTAGAAAGTAAACATATATTGCGTATAGTGGAATTCAAATAATGATTCTAGAACTCAATATTTTCGAAATACACAATATAACATAAAAAGCAACACATCAAGAAGGAATTATCTGCATAGGATGAAAATCTGTTTTCAATAAAACATGTATCACAATATCATAGGAATTGAATGTCTTATTGAGGAAATACAGCAACAAGAGTTTTAAAAAAATTCTGATGCAAGCTGCTCTCTAGCTGGCTATTGACTCCTTGAGTTGGCAGATGTCCCCCTACAAGATTGCTTGTCACATACATTCCAACTAGCAAGTTAAATCAGCGGGATTCAGAGACAGTCGGAGACACACACACATCATTGTCCACATATGTTCTGTTGATCACACCATCCCGAAAAGTGTTGGAGAAGCATGAAGACAAGCAATAGAAAGGTGTGCCATGTGCAGCTGGGCATTACCTTTTGAAATGTAAGTCCTGGATGCCTATTCTACATTCTGAGATTCAGCATCAGTTTGTGGACCGTGAGATGTTGCTGCTAATGAAAAACAAGTCTGCCCAACATCCCATATTCTCTGAGTACAGAAGTCATCGGAAATGCAGGGAAAAGTGTTGCCTCGTTGTCAATCAAGCTTCTCCAGTTGACGTTCTACGTACACAACAGCTTTGTATGTGTTTTCAGCGCAATTATTTTCGTATTTAAATGAAGAATACAATCATAGATCCCTGAATCAGTGGCGAATTTACAGAAAATATGTTGATGCTTTTGCTGTGCCATAATATGTTTTTATTGCATATTTCAGATTGACAAAATTTATAGTTATTTTAATTTGCGATGAACTGGGAGAGTATTTGGAGCCATATTCAGAAAACATGATCACAATTTCTACTGAAAGAAGGGTTATACTTTACCTGAAATTATAGATATATATTGTAATTATATAGTTTAAAAATGTAGAAGATGATAAGTATTTATCTAGGACATAATCTTTCTTCAGTTAATAAAAATATAGACATCTGAAAAGCATCAACTTGATTTATGTATAGCAAGAATTTATTTTAAAATATAACAGTGGAATACCTTACAAAGAATACTGTGAACACTAAGGAATGTCATTCATTATTGTGCAAAATTCGCACTACTGTAAAATAAAAATGAAATATATATATATATATATATAACAATAAAATAGTTTTATAATATTTTTTCAGTAGTAGTACTACTACTAGTGTGATATTTTTTAAAATAATGTTTAGCCCAGAAGGGCTATTAATTTCGTTTTGCCATTTTGTGGTGTTTCACGATAAATAGCCTTTCACTTTTCAAGATGTTGCCACCAAATATTATTGCACTGTATTATATTTGAAGAAAATAAATAATGAAGAATTTGCATAAATGTATGACTGTTTCTTGCACTGTGATAAAACAAGAGTACCTAGAAACATCAAATTTTGAATTACATAATCCTCCACCCTAATATAGAATACAAGTCTAAATACACTGCGCACATTTTTTATGATGTTCTTCATTTCAGATGATGTGGGAGCAAAAGCTGCATTATTCCTTTCATTTTCGTCATCGGAATCTGTATTAATGATACTTTTTGAGCTTTGAACAAACTCCAAAATGTCTTTGTCTGCTGTACTTGAGGCTATGCACACATTATTATCATCTATTGCAACGCATTCTTCTGCTAATGCAATAATACAGAAACTTTCTCAAACATTTCATTAAGTATTAGCTCAGTTTCAATATTTTCCTTCTCCATTTTTTTGGAACCAAAGAATCTGATACTTTTGAGAATCGTGCATGAAGAAAACAATTTTCATTCGCCCTTGGAGTAACTGAATTCCATGCAGAGTGCAACACATGAAGAGACAGAGTCATGCAGAGTGTAATATATGAACCAAACTCACTGATTTTTACTCGCGCTGTGATGTACACGTAACCAAATTCCAAATCTAACTGATTCGAGATAAGATGTTTGTAGGGGTTTCTCCGTTAAGTTGAAGATGGCTGCCCATACCGTTTTTTTTTTTTTTTTTGAGTCAATATTGTTCATGCAAGTAGTATATGGACCCAGTGATCCTAGAATAGGCATCCAGGGGTTCTTGAAAGGAAAGACAACACTAATGGGTATGGAATCTCATCAATGTACTGCTGTGCTATAATGTTGCTATGGATGACAATCAAAGAGATCTAGCTATCAAATGAAATGGCACACTATACCATAACTCCTAGTTGTCAGGCTGTGTCTTGTGTAAAGTGAATATCCAACTGCTGTCCAGGATACCTTCAGACATGTCTTCACTAGTCATCAGGGTTCAATTCAAAGCAGAACTCATTGCTGATAACACTTCTACTCCAGTCTGCGAGATGTGGCCGACAAACGTGCAGAATTGCCTGACAGTGTGCAATGGTGAGAAGCCACTGGCACAATAGCTCCTGTGACCTCAGCCCTATTCAATGAGCCACATATGAAAGGTCATTGTAGTCACTAGTGTTCCAGTTATGCAGTGGATCCTAAATAAAGATGTGTAAGGTGCTGTGAACTTCTAAAGATGTGTAAGGTGCTGTGAACTTCAATTGAACAAAATTATCTTCACGTTCTGTTACTGCTCTGGGTAGACCGCTACCTTCTTAGCAGCCATGATTCACCCATTCCTTCTGATACTGTCAAATGGTAGCAATGCTCTGGCCCAAATGTCTAGCGATCCTGCTAAAAAATGAACAATATACTTCAGTCTAATTGCATGCTATCACTCAAATGGTGACATCTGCTCATACCGTTCACGAACCTGTCAATGAGGCAATGGTACCATACACATGAATATATGAAAACAAATTTGCATGGAAGTTATGCCTTAACCATTTCGTTGCTCCATTGCAATGTACTAAAACTCCAGTTAGTCAATCGTTGGCTGCCAAAAGTTAATCATTTGCATATTTTATCGTAAGGTATGGGCATATGCAATTTTATCACATTCAGATAACTCCTTCTTGGTGTGTTGCTTTTTATGTTACAGAGTGTATTAATGAATGATGGTGCTGTTTATTTAATATTATGTCTATCATTTACATTTTTGCTAATCAAGAAATTTAATATATTCTTAGGTTGTTGTTTGATCCAAAACATTGCCTTTATACATTATTTAGATGCTTTCATTTTTTAAGAATTATATAAACAGAACTTTGTTAAAATTACATCTGTCATTGTGCATTGGTTTGCTTCCATAATGCATTACAGTTTTCTTAAAAAAAGTTAAAAAAAGAATTCTTTTATGAATCGCATATTTTTTACATAAATAGGCAAGAATAATAGCTTAAATTTCATTGTCAACAAGAATACCACAAAATAACTTTTAACCCACTTAACTCAGAGATTGTATCAATAATAACATTATAGAAAGGCATTACAAATTTAGTACTGTACAAAGTCCGTAATCTGGACTCGTCGGGACTTCGGCGATTCCAGATTATAGATTATCAATTTAAATCTGGTAAGATGGCATGCGGAAATTATACAATTAAAAATATCAAAACCGTAATTTATGAAATAAAGAGCAATTATGATCTAAAGGGTAACAAAATTTACACACACACACCACACACACACAAAAAAAAAGTTATTTGTTTACTTTATTAAACACTTCTTTCAAGTTGTTTAAGTTGCTTCGTTTTTTGTGCTAATACTTTCTATTTTAACTCTCTCTTCTATAAACAGACAAAATTTCTTGTTCTGTTACAAAGTTTCACTGTTCAAATCCTGTGTTGAGAATATCGACTAACTTGTCAATCGAAATTTTTTCGTTTTCGATAACCTCTCTGTCACTTTCTTCACTATCGGAAGTGCGCATGTGTAAGCGCTTTACTGGCTTTACGCGCATGCATAAGTTTTTGGCTTTGAGGTCCGGATTACAGATCATTCCGGATAATTGACATCCGGATTATGGACTTATTACTGTATATTATTTATTAATAAATAGTAAGCTTTTCGTCTAAATATTTATTATACAAAATACTCAAACAGCAAAGATTTGTGAGCTTGGTGTCACATAAATTCCTTAAAATATGAATTTAATGGGTGTTGTGCAATTCTGCAGTGTCTTTTATTGTGCCATTTTGCTGAATGTTTTGAGTAAGGCAACAGTATAATGTCCCATAACTTTGAAAATATTCCTCTGCTTGCTGTTCTGTATCAGGCAGGCAACATTTTAAATTTAACTTTTTTTCCCCAAATGCAAGAGAAAACAGAGGAATACGAGTCAAGTTATAGCCTTCTTCACAAAAGCTCAACTGGTTAATAAACTGATTTAGTTTAGGATCAAAGTTACCAAAAACCAAAGCGATTTTTAAAGTATGTTGTGATGTCATGCTTATCTGTTATTGGTTAATTTGCAATGTCTGGTGGCAGTTTTTATTTCTCAGAAATGATCAATATAAAACTACATAACTACCACCCGGGATATGTTGAAAAAACAGACAGGGAAAAAAATCTCAGGTAAGGCATTCCCCTCCTTTTTTTTTTAAAATTTTTATTTAGCATTTTATTGTTTATTTCTAGAATTCTTTGAGATTTAATATTAGTGATTACATGACTTTTATACTTACATGGAGAACAAATCCACAATCTTTTGGTATTATACCTGTACCAAAATTTGAAGACACACTATATATAAAAGAACAGCCATTGCCTTCTTCATCTACTACTGCTACATAAGAAGTATTGCCACCACTTAGGATCTTAGAATACCCAGTAGCTCTGAAAAGTATATATTTTAAGGAATCATTAATATTTTTTACAACAGTTAAAATAATAATAATAAATATTTTTTATTTATTTTACTAAATACTGCAGATATCCCAGTGACAAACAAAAAGATATGAATTCAATTCAATTTGTATACAAACACCTAAGCTAAGAATTTTTTTAAACATTATATTATGCATATCATTAAAATTATTGCATATTTTAGTTCAAAACTGCGATTAATAAAAACTATGAAACTCATTATTCATCAATAGTTATGCAACTAGGAATATATTTGTTCTTCACAAAAGGAAAATGAGCCAGATTATTAGAAAAGTTTTAGTTATTCATCAAAATAAAATGCATGATACTTAAATATCTACCGTATATACTTGCGTATAAGTCAATACCGCGTATAAGTTGCCCCCCCCCACTTCGACATAAAAAATTTGTAGAAAATAAGAAACCCGTGTATAAGTCGACCCTCTCCCCACTTCCGAAATCGATCGAGAAACTTCGAAAATATTTTTTTTATGTACTACATTTATTCAAAATCATCTGAGAAAAAAAAGCAAATATACGATAAAAAATACCTTGGTAAATAAACAAAATCAAAATCCTTCAACGTCCGATTCATGGTCAGATTCGTCAAACATTTCATAGAACTCTTTTGTCATCATTGGCTCGTCATCATACATATTTTCAGTCTCGAACTCTGGATCGTTACAATCACTACTAGAGCCTTCGTCATCATTTTCACTTTCAAAAGCAGCATTATCATCTGTGCCGTTTAGTTCGTTGCTAATACATTTTTTAAATGATTTATATCATTTCAGAGGATATTTCGTTCCAAGCATCTTTAACCCACTGAGCAATTAATGTAATATTGGGCTTTTTAATGTTGCCTCCCTTTGTAAATGATTGTCGACCGGAACTAATCCGCTCTGCCCAATATTTTCTTACATTTACTTTGAAGGGCTTATTGGGGCAAACATCTAGGGGTTATCGAAACTTACTCTAGTTAAAGTATGAAACTCTGTGATTAGTTCGTCACATAATTTAAGTCATGAAATTACTTTAAGTAAGTGACTTATTTGATAAGTCGTCCAATTTGAGTGCGGGAAGAAAACAACTGCATTACATAAAGAAATTTTTGAACTTCCGATTCTTTTAATTTTTTATGGCCTCGCGAATAAGTCGACCCCCCACTTTGAAGTCTTTTTTTTGTCCAAAATATCTCGACTTTTACGCGGGTATATACGGTAATTACAGCACAGACAAAGATCAGATTTAACTGAAAAATTACTCCTTAGAAAAAATTTGCAACATGGTTTAGACAGAAAATGAACAAACTATGTATTTTTTGCTGTCATGGGGGGGGGGGGGAGGATTTTGAGCCATTTAAAAAAAAAACTTATAAATTATACAAATACCAAAATTATAATAATTAAAAACAAAATTAAGATGGGAAAATTTTTAAATTGTGGTTTTATTTAAACATTTTAAAGTTTTTTGATTAAAATATTAATAGCTTAATTTTAGCAGCATTTACTTTTTAATGCTGCTAAAATTACAGTGAAATATAATAAAATACAGTAGTTACATTATCCATTAAACACATCGTAAAAAAATATTTCCATCATGATGTTTTGCACAATAATGTTTTCCCTTGGATCATTTTGATCTGTGATTTTTTTTGCCATGAAGGTTTCATTAGAATACATAATTATAATGCTCATCTTCAACTGAATCACATTTTTTGTCCCTTTCACCAGCTCAAAAAATTTTTAGTAAGCACAGAAATACATACCTAACATATAAACATTTTTCTCAAACCTCTATAAAAAACTGTTTTTAAAGAAACAACCACAATTTTACTGCATGTTAACAAAGTCTGCAATATACGATAAATGTAGCGAGCACACACACACAAAGAAAAACACTTTGGGATACGAAATTTTATTTATACCTTTGGGTGCTGATACAGTTTTTGAGTTTTTTAGCAGTATCATCAGACAATAATGTTTTAAGGGATTTGGTACTATAGTCTGGATCACATAAATAATCCCAACATTCTAAGTATGAAAACTTCGTAACTTCTGCTATAATGTGTATATATTCTGCAGAATTGTGACCAAGAGCTGAAAAACAAAATAATATTAATCACACGATTATACTAAATTTGAATGTAACTTTTACATGCATATGTTTAAACTCTATGTTATATAAATTCTGATTTAATAATAGTGAATAGTTAAAAATTGTTACATTCAGGAATTCTCTTACTTGAATTTTAAACATGATATACAGTATTTCTTTGTGTATTTCCCCCTCTAGTCTTTTAGCATTAAGTTCTAAAATATTTTCCCCTCTAAGGGTTAGTTTATTCCTTAGAACTGCATTCCCTTGTACATTTTTATTTTGATTTGACCTATTCAATTTGTATTTGCATTTTTGTACTATCATTTCACTCATTTTACTTTCCCTCACATTTATTATTTGAAACTTATTTTGTGCAGATTCTTCATTAAGCTGCCTGGGCATGGCATGTGTTCTCACACATAAGAAACTTTCCAAACATGTGACTTCACCTTACGTCTGTTAATTATGTTCCAACTCATTATAGCCGTATCTCTATCTATCACATATCTATCATATTTGATGTGCTTTATCTTTCAAAATCTGGATTTTCAGTTCACCCTCCTTCTCCTTCATTCCTCTAATATCCCTCTTGGGAAATGCCACTAAGACTCGTGTACGGGAGGTACCCCTGTGACTTTACAAGGTAACAAACAAGATGGCTCAATTACTGACAGATATTGTAATGTTAATATCACTATGCATTCTTATTCGAGTGTAGATTGTTTTTAAATAAATAATATTACAATAGTTACCAGTAGTTTATCCATGACTACTTTTAATTTGCTATGTTTTTACCGTAACTGCATTCTTCATAAATTAAATTACTTGTTTAATTTTATCCTCCAAATTTTCAGATGATAAAATTAGTTACAAAAAGGGGGAAATGCAAAGAAATAAAGTATATTACAAAATGTTACCCCCCAAAAAAAGCATTCAGATTTTACATTACGCCCAAAGGGGTGTTTTTGTAATATTTTGTGTGTTACCTTTATTTATTAAATATCATGTTCTCCACACTTAAACCATAAAATTCAATTTAACAGCAAAATCAAAAAATAATTTAAAAATGAGCATATCTTTAGAATTTCTGATACAGTTTCATGCGCTGGAGGTGTGTCCCCCCCCCATGTAGTGTTGCATTCCTCGCTTTGAAATTGTTGAGTTTGTTAATTAAAAATTCTTTAATGTCTGACAAAATATGAAATAGATAATAAAACAAATTCCAAATTAGGTCTTCCAAATTCCCATATTCACAGGAGGATTACATTTTTCAAAATTGGATGGCTCTAGGTACCATTGTTTTATAACAATGTGAGAAACATACATACATTTATGCAGATTCTTCATTATTTAATTTCTTGAAATATAATACAGGGCTGCAATATTTGGTGGCAAGAGTTTGAAAAGTGAAACAACGCAGAAAGTGAATCGACACAAAATGCGAAAACGAAATTAATATCCTTTCTGGGCTAATGCCCTTTTGGCTAAAAAGAAGGGGGGAGGACGATCTGTATTTTTCCTAATTTTTCAGTCTTTACATCTTAGGCTGTGTTCAGACGGGGGCACAAAGGGCATAAGTGGTTAAAACCGAGCTGCGTTGCCAAGGCAACCAACCAGTCTATGCTACGTCACATAATCTGGTTTAAGGCTCGTGGCACAAGGTTCTATGTTTTCAACTTTACGGAGAGTTTGGGATAAGCGTCGACCAATCAGAGCGAAGCTAAATGTAAGTGGCTTTCTTTAGACAACTTTGCTGTTACATTGAAGGCGACATTTCTTTTTAATATGGAGCTCATCGTATCCGAATGAGTTGTAATCGTATTCAAACGAAATAATGAGTTGATCTCGCAAGAAATCTACGATGATGACATGCATTTATTAATGAGTTTTCACAATAAATTGAAAAATATGGATGAAACTCGTAAAGCAAAAGTTAAGCTCAGGATCATGCACGCTGTGTATGATCCAGTAGATGATTTATCCCATCCATTATTTTTCATTTTATAATGAAAATTCTTTAAAAAATGCATGCTTGCAAAAATTTTATTTTTTCTGTGTAAATTATTATTATTACTTTCTTTCCATTTATTATTTTTGTATAAACTAATTCTATCATTTTCTTTCTGTTTAATTATTTTTGCATTTAAGAATAAATTTATTGAAAAAGCTGAAACTATTGTAGACACATCAACGCATGTGCAAATTTAGCTCTCATTGGCCACAGTTTAGACCCTCGTCTTACAGGTGTGAACAGAACTCAGAATCTCAGAAGAATATTTTATATCCTTATGACTATGCCTCTATGCTCTTTATGCTGCCGTCTGAACATAGCTTTAAGCTCATCACAGCCAATGTATACCACAATTATAGCATAAACACTCACTTCTAGTTGCTTATAATTAATATTATAAAAAATTAGTCTAGAAACTGGACTGTAATTTTTCTTATATTTTGTTCCTTTTTTGCATTTGCAATAAAGCATATGATTTACCTACCTAAAATTCACAACTAGTAATTTTATTTTAATTAAACTCAAGAACTACAAAAATATCATTGCAAACACAAATTATTCACAGATAATGATGTGATAAATCTCAATAAGAAAGAAGAGGAGCGTACCTTTTAAATCAAATAACCTTAATACATTGAGAGCAACTAATGCAACAATGCCAGTAGTATTGGGTTTCATTTCCCATATTCTAAACCCATTAAAGTTAATGTAAACTGCATCAGAAGGATAAGTAGATGAAGAAATATCTAGATGTTTCTTCATATCTTCTAAAGTTAAAACTCCACCAGAATGCTGTACTTCATTTACAATATTTGAAGCTGTATTTCCTTCATAAAATTCTTTAGGACCAAATGCAGCAATTGACTGAAAGATAAGCAGAGTTTTTCAACTACAGCATTTAGTAAATCAAATTTTATTTTGAGACCTAACTATGTAAAAAGAAAAATATTAATTTAATCAGACATAAAAGTGACAAACAAGTATGGAATAGATGATACATCTTCTGGTCAGATTTCAATCAATAAGAGGCAATTTTTTATTATTTTTGTTAATTTTAATTATGCTACTATTATAACCTCATGATGTATTATTCACAATGTATCTGCTAAAAGAAGAAAATAGTCAAAACTGCACTTTTTTAAAACAGACAAAAACTGCCAGAAAAAAAACCTGAGAAGAATGTAGTAATAATTAACTATACAAGTAACACACTGATCCTTCTATAGATATCATCTAGAATAGATATATTTGAAATTTGTAAATATTCTTTTCAATTTCAAGACAATTAATTAACTTTTATTGCACTTATTAGATAAATATCTTGCTAAATTTTACTGAAATCTTTTCTTCAACAGAATTCATCAGAAGGAAACTTTAATGAAATGTACTTAAAAAACAGTTAATGCTATGAACAACTATTTAAAAAAACAGACACCTACATGAAATTGGTTAGATTACAAATTTTTACATATTTATAGTTAGTAAACCTTTCAATTTTAAACAAATGAAATGAAAAACATTATGCAATTTTAGAAGCTTAAATGCTACTAAGAAGGCCTTTTTTCTTAAGTACATCCCTGTATGGAACATTTTATTGCAGAGGATTTGCAGAACTAAAAAGAATCATTTACCCATTTTTTACACACACATATACTCTCTCCCGAAATCCCAAAAAATAAAGGGTACTTACGTATTAACGCAACCAGGCCAACATTCACATAAATCACCAAATTTGGCGACCCTACTTACGGCAACCCTACGTGTTATACGTAGTTTTGTAAAAAGAAAAAATAACACTTGGCGTGTACTACCACAGCAATGGTTTTCGGCGGAATTTGCCGAGAAAAGAAAGACACTTTTTTGGTTACTGTACCTAACAGAAGCGTCGTTACCCTCATAGAAAAAATTTGCGAAAATATCAAGGAAGGAAGCATCATTTATTCGGATTGCTGGAAAGGATAAAATACAAGCGAGTTTGAAAATGCTGGATTTCTGCATGGAACTGTTAATCACAAATATAACTTTGTGGATCCCAACACAGGCGTTCACACACAACATGTAGAGCGCATGTGGGGCTCAGCCAAATGGCGCAACAAAAAACAGAGAGGAACAGCCCATCATCATCTTAACTCATACCATATCGAATTTATATGGCGCCAAGCTCAAGCTGTTAATGGCGAAGACGGTTTTCAATCGGTGCTAAAAGCAATAGCCAAAAGATTTCCGCCGAAAAAATAATTCTGCAACTTATTCAAATTCGAAACTGGAAGGTTTCAATTGCTATTTTATATTTTAAAACAAAATAATATAAAAAACTGTATTAAAAATTATCTGTAATTAATAAATGTACATTTTCTTTCTATTCATACTTTTTTATGTCAAACTTACAAATCGCGCCAACCTGGTTGCGATAATACAAAGTACCAAATAAAGAAGTTACATGATGTTATTGGTACGTGACACACAAATTGTTACTCTGCAGTTAAGAAATATATAGTATCAGAAACATCTTTTATTAATTATGATTATGGCAAAAATGTTTATAAAAATTAAATCAACTGAACAAATTCTAAATGTCAATTAGATATATTAGTAAAATATAAATTATTAAGAGTTACATTATATTTCTTTTAAATCACTCAACTTGCTACGCAAATAGTAATTTTAATTTGAAAAATAATGAGGCGATGCTGCATGGATTGGCAACACATCTGAGAACTGGCAATTTTTCAGAACAACATTATATGATATGGAATATGGAAAATTTAATATCACTACATTGTGTATATTTCAATATTTAAAAAGTTATTATACAATGGCTGTATTACTTGATTACGCCAAAGCGCTAGAGGACTCTGTCTTTTAGAAAAAGTTTTTCAAAGAAATTGCTTATTTTTATGCTGTACTTCAGTGAAACCATACACCTAACCCGTTCAACATAACAATACAAGTAAAGCTGAGCTACAAGTGTTTCTTCCTTGCAACCACTCAATCCTGGTTGGCTTATATTTACTGTGAATCTGGTATCAATATACATAGTAAAATAAAGAAATTATCATACTGTATGAGGTAAACAAAATAGCTTTCAGTTAAATTGTTGTAGCTAAATTGTAAGTTGAGTCCAATTTGAATAAATCATTTATGACTTTATATGAATTAAAATTTACAAAAAAGCTCAATATTTATTTGCTTTATTTTTTTCTAATTTTGAAATTGCACTTTCTTAAACCTGCACTGCGCCAATGTCATTTTTGTGGCCCAAGGATGCTACAAAATACACTTTCACTTTACAGATCGTACTGTTTTCCTGAATTAGGAAGTCTATATGAGATAGTCAAAAATTCAACAATTTTATAAGTAAAATCAGATTATTATAATAACAGCCTAAAAAAAATAATAAGTTGGATCAAATTAGTTAAGAAAGAATGTAATTTGCTATTTAGCTGAACATAATTTCTTCCTAAACTAATTCATTCTCTCTTTCTGCTGTTATACAAACAAACAAAAAAGAAAAGTATTAGTAACACCCCACTCCAAACAAATGTATCTTGGAGATTCACTTATAGTTTAAGACAAAGAGCAAAATATTAGTCCCTCCTTTCATTCATTGAAGTGTCAAAAGTGTGATAAAGGCTAACATCAATCAATGTATTGTCAATGGCCACAATGGAGCGATTCCCTGGCTAAGTACATATTTGAAAGTGACATACGAGACTCCCAGTTAGTCCAGAGGAAAACTGCTTTTATGACACACCTCCTTTTTCTGGAGAATTGTATTCTTCATTACTAAATTTTATTAAAAATTCTTGGTAGTCTCAAGGTCTGGACATTGAATAGCTTGATTTTGTACTGTATATGCAACATCACTGTCTATAGTCAAATGCAGTGCAGCACTGCACATAACCTGCAATTAGGTGCATACGATATGACTGCTTTTTCTAATTTCCAATCTTTAGCTGTTGGATTGTAGGGCATTGGCACAGTTATATAAAATTACCATGGTATGTAACTTCCCCTTAAGAGCTGCTGGATTGTTGAGCATTGGCACAGTTATATAAAATTACCCATGGTATGTAACTTTTCCTTAAGAGCTGGATGCTCCAGCAATCTTGCAAAATTATATAATAATCTTAATCAGTCCTACATTCATTCAAATGCAAAAATACAATACGAGATCAGTTGTTATTACCACCAATTTTATTTATATAAATCTATGGAATTTAACCGATTGTTTACATAAGAGCATTCTCTGTATTAATCATATTCCTCTGATGACATCTTTTTTAACTTTTATTCTTTAAAGAGATGCAAAGCTTAAGAATATACAGATCATTCATCATGAAGGAGCTACATTACTGAAAGACATGTAGTGTATACGATAGATGTATTATGGAAATAAGATATCCAGTTAAAAATGAAAAACACTTTTTGATAGTTTTCCATAAGAAATAGGCCAGTATGTTTATGGGATACTTATGCATTATCGCAACCACTTACCAGAGTCGCCAAATTTTCAGAATGTGCCAAACTCTGATAACCATGTACATGATCATTCTTTATGCAATCTTGCTCATAATAACCCATAAATCAACAATGTTACCATTTTCTTATGCAATCTTTTCCCTATATTCAAAGTTCTAATAGTTGTTACAGACAAATAGTGATGTTTTTTGTCTTTAACTCAATTTTAAAATATGCACTTTGTAATTTGTCAACAATGGAAGAAAGTGTGGTAAAATTTCTGCACAATTATAGTATTTGGCCACTAAAGGGAGCAATGATGAGATGCATTTGGTAAATCACCAGTGCCCAATGCTGAGGTTGTGCATGAAACTGAATTTGTGTAATTCTGTGTTTTTTAAATATCAAAACAAATCACTCTGTACATGGGAAGATACACAGAAAAAAAATTACAGAAGGATTTTGCAAAAAATGCATTTTACTTCTGCAATGTATCATACAATCCATATTTCATAATTAAAAATTGTATTTCAAATTGCTAATATGAGTTTCTTTTTTATATGTTGTTAATGTCTGCTGACTTAAATAAATACCATTAGTCAAAGAACCTTTGTAAAAAAGTCATAAAAATCACTAACTTGCACCAAAGAAACTTTTATCTTTGTAAAATATTGCCACATTGCGCTAAATTAGTTGTTTTAATACATAAGTACTGTTTATGGTATGGATGATATTCCGTACCATAAACAGTACTTATGATATTCTAATTACTCTGTATTGTTGTTACCTGAATCTAAATATTGGCATGATCTCAGATAAATAGTTTACAGTGCAAATGTCAGATTATCAATTATAATTCTTCCAGCAATATTAAAATGATATGAAATTATGAGAATATTAACATTTAATCATTAATTTACTTTTTATTTTTTTCTCACCTTAAAACAGCTTGCCAGTTTGGGAGCAAAAATCAAGCTACCTGGTAAAGGTGGCTTATCCCCCTGCAGCACGTCTTTTGCATGCCTTGAGCTCCTGAAGACTTCTTGGTATCTATCCCACATAATAGCAGTTTTATATGGCACTGGAGCTCCTTCTTGAGCTAATGCAATAGCAGGGCCTAATATTTGGCTCATTGTCAACTAAATTATACAAAAGATAATATTTATTTTTACACTGCACAGAGCAATTTTAAAAGAAAAAGAAATCTACACAGTTATTTGAAATGATACACTCAATGTTTAAAAAAGCATAATTTCATATCTGTTATTCAGATTTTAATTTAACAGATGGAAAAAAAATGCCCAATGGAACAATTCTCTAATTTTTTATAATGCATTCTAACATCAGATTTTAAGGGCAGAATGTTACTGTAATTCTAATTTCAAATTTCTAGGGCAGAATCTTAATTACTCCTATTTTTGCATTCAAATCTCACCAAAAATTCTTATAAACCAGTGGTATTCAAACTTTATGGCAGTGTGCAGTGGCATAGCTAGGGTGGGGCAAGAGGGGACATCTGTCCCCGGGCACAGCATCCAGGGGGCGCCAAGTTGATGCTACGAAAATTTTTAATGAAATGTTTTGTATTCTTGGCACACAGGGCACAAATTCTTCAGTTGTCCCCGGGCTCTGGAATCCTAGCTACGCCACTGGCAGTGTGACCCCATAAAAAAAAAAAAAAAAAAAAAAAAACCCCATGATCCCCCAAAACAATTTTATGACCCAATCAGAGTTCCAACCTTTAGTTACATACCATAAATTCAGATTTTTTAGGATTTTTATCCTCCTTGTGACACCACTATAAATTTCCAGACCCTCAAATGGGGTCATAACTCATAATTTTAATACAACTGCTATATAATACGATCAATATCTCAGTCTATTAGATTTGCAACCGTGACATAAAATAATAGCAATAAATAGCATTGAACCTTTTTACTAAGCACAAGTGCTCATGTTTTTCATTTAATGCTACTCTCTTTCCTTATACAGTACAAAGTCTGTAATCCGGACTCGTCGGGACTTTGGTGATTCCAGATTAGGGGCTTTTCCGGATTATAGATCATCAATTTATATCTGGTATGATGGAATGCAGAAATTACACAATTAAAAATATGAAAACATAATTTATGAACTAAAGAGCAATTATGATCTAAAGAGTATAAAATTTTACAAAAAAAAGCTTAATATTTATTTGTTTAGTTTATTAAACATTTCTTTCAATGCGTGCATGCGTAATGTATGTGCATTCTTTAGGCGCATGTGTAAAGTTTGTGGCTTTAAGGTCTGGATTATAGATCATTCCGGATAATGGACGCCCGGATTACAGACTTTGTACTGTAGTTACAATTTTAAATTAAGCCTGAATGAAAAAATGCAATTAAAAACCATTGAAAAGAAAGCAGCTGGCCCTTGAAATGTGCAGGGTTTATGGATGCAGTACACAGAAGAATTTCAAATCCATAAATAATTATTGTCTTCCCTGAATTTAAATACTGATAACGTGTTGATAACTAAAAACACTATCAAAATGGATTTTGCACACTGCATTTATAAATTCATAATGCACTGCAAAAGAAAGGGGGAAAGTAACCGAGAAGAATCATGAAAAGAATAAAACACACCTATAGAATTGTATTCTATGCATTAATATCATAAGTTTGTTTCCTATAATCTATGCATTAAGAGCATATGTTTGTTTTGCCTATTCCATGATGAACTGCTTATCTGTAACACTATCAGTGTTGTATTACAGAGGAGTGAGATAATTTTTGTTGGTATCATTGCATTCTTATCACAAGAAACGAATGCAAAGATATATAAAAAATGTTTTTGACTACAGAAGATTTATGTATTGATATACTGAGCAGTAATATGTTTAATTTATAATGTCAAAGTATGTATCCAACCATTATGACACTACCTAGCCCACCATTTATACATCATTACAATCATCATAAAAATTTTAGGACTTAGCTAGTACTGTAAACAATGTTGCATTAAAAATACTCTACAATACATATATCAAGCATTTCAACTTTTCTTTAAATACAGTATAAAGTCTTTAATCTGGACCTCAAAGCTACAAACTTTATGCGCATGCATAAATGCATTATGCGTTTATGCATGCGCATAATACGTTTACGCATGTTCGTTTAATGCATGCGTACGCTACGTATACGCATAAAGAGAAGAGATATTGTTTATAGAGAGAGACTGTTTACAGAAGAGAGATGATTTAAAGGAATATACATAAATTTATTACACATTAAGTGTTTTTATCATTAAATTAAGAACTTTTAATGAACTTTACTGATTTCGATTAGTCAGGTGCATTCTCAAGATCACATGACTTCTCCTCTGACTGCCTCCATGCCAGCGTAGCACAAGACGAAGAACATCTTTTGTTCTTATTTTACATACTCATGAACTCGCATTTTGAACTTTCGCCTTGTGCGATGATCTACTAGAAGTACATTTTTGATTTCTTTTAAAACCAAGCAAATGTTTAAATGGTTATAATTTTCAGATACTGGTTAGAACTCTTTGTAGTTAAGGCCAGCTGTAAAGATAAGATCCAAGATCCATAGAAGAGAGAATTAAAGAGAAAGTATTAGCACAAAAAAAAGCAACTTAAAAAACTTACATTGAAAGAAATGTTTAATAAAGTAAACAAACAAATATTAAGCTTTTTTTTTTTTTCTGTAAATTTTGATACCCTTAAGATCATAATTGCTCTTTATTTCATAAATTACGGTTGAATATTTTTAATTGTATAATTTCTGCATGCCATCTTACCAGATTTAAATTGATGATCTATAATCCGGAAAAACTCCTAATCCGGAATTGCCGAAGTCCTGACGAGTCCGGATTAAAGACTTTATACTGTACCATAAAGTTTTTATGCTTTTTGAAAGCAATCCAGGATAACTAGATGTACTTCATATATGGAATTTATTCTGTTATTCATAGTTTGCAGTATTATACCAAACATAATGTAAAATACAGAACCACACGTATGTACACACACACACACACACACACACACACAAAAAAAAAAAAAAAAAAAAAAAAAATCGCAATTTAAAGTTTAAATCACAATTAATTTATGACCTACCTAAGTTATATATATATGTATATATATTATTTTTGAAGTCTATACCAGCTTTCTCAAATTGATGTGAATATCTAGAAATTTTCCAACACATTTATTTGGAAAAAAAAAAAAAAAAAATGACTATTTTGATTGACAAAATGCATCACAGAAGATTTAATAAGTGCACACTCAATGTTGGATCACTGTAGTTAAACTGGTGACATAGTATCCTAAAATTGGCCCTCCAGGTCTTTGAACATTATGCCATAACTTCTTTGACCTAAATTATATTCAAGATGTTGTGTTCATGTCACCCGTGCATATAAATTTACAAGATCTCAGAAATGACAGTGTTATTCTTATGAAGATAGTAATATAAGATAACATTAATATACTGAAAGAATTCTTAATATTATATTGACATTATTTATACAACTAAATGAAATCACAGAAATAAATATTACATATTTTTTTTTCAATTTCATACATTAATTGCCATTTCATGTTCATTAACTTCAGAGTTAAAACTTACATGAAATCAGGTCAATGAACCACTCTGAATAACCTTCTTTTTGGAACTGCCTATGAAACAGTCTTTCATTGCAACCATTCTATCATGTCTTAAATTACACTCTCTTAATATCTGTATACATAATTTGACAGACACTTTTTTTTAATCCAATCTAAATGCCTCATGTGAAGAAGCAATTAATGGTTGTAAAACTTATTAAAATCTGAAATTAGGCTAATAATTTGAATTATTCCTTATATTTAATGCTTATTTTAACACATTTAAACAGTAATACATTAAAAGACTTTCGAAAATGAACTAATAAATGCTGTTTTTTTCTGTTTACATAATTTGTTTTTAAGTTCAAAGGGGTCCATGCTCGCTAACCTGCAGCCTTCAAAGTCTGTTAATGCAATTTATGTTATCTAATAAAAAACTGAACCAATAGTTTCATTTTCCACTAGTGTTCCATGCAAAGTTTTCACATGAAAGTAAAACTACTTAAGCAATTTATTATTTAGCAACTATAGATAAAACCCCATACACATTATAAGCCACATCTTTCTCATATGAAGCACGCAAAAAGTAATATTAAGTATAAAATTTTTAGATTAACATTTTGAAAAAACTCTTTATCCATTATCAAATCTATGAAACTACATATACAACTACGTACAAAATTAAGAGAATTTGCCCAATATGTCGAATATCTGAAAAACTAATGGAAGATTTTAATGAAATTTACAATGAATATATAAGAGAGAAAGATATGTGTCACTTAAAATTTATTTTATGCATGAATAATTATCAATAAAATTTATAGAGCAGGGATATCCACATTGTGATATCAAACTCAAAATGAGTCTAATATGGGGTATTATGCCCTCTCATAGCCAGTTGCACAATGTGACAGTATAACTGGTCAGGAGGCAGTTAAGAAGTCCTATGGGAGTTAATTTCACTCTTGCAGCAAGGCAGTTTTGAATTCCAAATTGTTCTCAGAGGGGGATGGTCAGATGAAATTGCCCTCCCAAGACCACCCCAGACATGCCATATAGGCTAAGGTCAGGAAATCTGGCTGGCCAATCCATGTGACAAATACTCTCACTTTCCAGATAATTGCTGACCAGCTCAGCTCTACGTGGAAAAGCATTGACATTAATTAACAGAAGCCCAGGACCAACTGCATGCCTGAAGAGTTGAACATAGGGCTCTAGGATTTTGTCTGTATACCTCACAGTCAGGAAGCATTTGTCAAATGCAGGGATGTAGAGCTGTCCAACATAATGCCTGCCCAGACGATTATCACAGTAATGATGCTCTTCCCTGATGAGAAAGGAATGGTATTGTGCTCCTGACTCTCTACACATAAAGGTACACTGAGAATCAGTATTCAGGCTGAATCTTGACTTATCTGTAAACAGCATGGTGCTCCGTTGAAGTCTGGTCCAAGGTGCATGTAGTTTGTAACATGCTAAACAGACTCTCTTGTGTGCTGCAGTGAGTGAGATGCAAACAGCATGTCTTCAGAACCTTATTCTTGTGTTGCTGCACTGAAAGTGCCAAATAATGATCCTCATTTGTCGGTGTGGATCTTGTCCAGGTCTTCTTGATATGAATCAAGTGTTCTAAAACTGTTTCCACAAATCACAGATGACATTTGGTATCACATAGAGTTCTGCAGCTAGCTGCACTTGTGATTGACCTGCCTCCAATCTCTACTGACAATTTTCCATCTCATTCCCTCATCCATATATTCATAGATACTCATTTTATCTGAAAACTTATAAAATTTACCCAACTCTTGCAAGAAACATTGGGAATGTCATGTACGAAGTACGAATACATGAATTGCCCAAAACCTCTTGTATACTTATATCCTCTCCACAATAATTGCAATATTTTGTAAATTTTCTTAATTTTGCCCATATGTGCAGATGTAGAGATATTCAGAATGTATGCTGAATGTTTACATTACAAAAACTTTCATGTTCATATTTGATACTTCAGAATTGAAGCAGCCACCTCAGTCAACTGCCAAAATTGGAAGATTAGTTGCCAGGCTTACTAAATATAATTCCAAAATTTTAACCCTCAATGGATTTGATCATGATGCTGTCTACGTGGTATCAGGATTATGCATTTCTTTTTTTCCCTCTAAAATGTTTAGCATTTTAATTATCAATTAGAAAAGAGTAAATTTTTGTGATATTTATAATGTGTCACATACTTTATTTTCTCACTCACTTTTGACTGTTATTATATCATTCTTTTGTTAATTATTTTTTTTTTTAAATGCTAGCAAATTTGAAAATAAGATTTTTCTCATAATATCGTTCACTCTTTCACATTCTTCACTTTTAATTTTTCCTTTAAAATGCTGATCACATTTATCTTATTGTCAACTAAAGAAGCAATGGTTAAAAAAAAGGGGGGGATTTTTTTGTATACTGAGCAAAAGTGCAAAAGCGGCCACTAAAATTATTTATAGGAAAGCTGCAGCTAAATGTCAAAACAAAATAATAATAATAATAAAAAAAAAAGGTTTATCTATACTTGAATTTATATTTAAAGAATGTATGTGGTGGCAGTATAAGAAGAAAAAAATATTTGATTCTTTTAATGATAGCTGAAATTGTCAGACAATGATTTCCACAAATGCAAATAAATGGGTCATGTGATTGTTAATAAATATGAAATTCCACATGAAGTCCTCAACAAATTTTTGTTGGTCAGTAGAAACTTTTCAGTCAATAATATTTGTAATTTAATATTTTCAAAGAAGCATGCAGCAACATTTAATCAACTGCAAATATTTATACAGTAACTTTGTTATCTACAACTGAATTTACCAGTACAAATTACAAAAAAGTTACTTCAGTTATTAAAAGATAAAAATACCTTTCCAGAACCAAAATTTTTTATGACATCACACATTCCAGCTACTGCACCAGGAACAGATACCCAAAGACCATGGTGAGAAAATTCTTTCTCATTTGAATCTATGACACCAAGAGCCTTAACTTTTTCCAAAGTTGCATTTTTTCCAGTTCTTCCACTGCTCTTATGGAAAATTAAATCAGTATTTTAGTATTAAAAATTTTAAATGTATTAGACAGAAAATTAATCTACACTGTTCACCATTAAAATTGCTACACCAGGAAGGAAAGCAAATAGCATAATCTTGTTTATTGTACACAGAGCATAATGGGAAGAAGACATTAAATTTGCAGGTAGTTTGAGTTACACAGCATGCAGAACTGAAAATATAGAGCTGCCGCCTAAGTATTGAGTTGAACTGCACTTGGATGACAGATACAAATACTTCATTCTATGTAGCCGCAACTGTATGCAGAACTGAAAATATAGGGCTACCACCTAAGTATCGAGTTGACTCGCACTTGGATGACAGATATGGATATTTCAATCTATGTAGCTTCAATTGTATGCTACCTTCTATCAGTCATAGTGATTGGCAAGTGGTAGCAAGCCAATCTCTCAGCAATCCTTGGCCAGATATTTTTAGTGGGTGAGAGATTTAGAGAATATTCAGGCCAGGGTAACAGTCAAACACCCTCTATAATCGAGGAAAGTCGGGATAGCATGGGCAACATGATGCTGAACATAATCTTGTTGAAAAATGGTATCATACAGGCCATAAAGATAGGCTACAGTCACAGGCCTTAACATGTCAAAAATGTAACAATGGCTATCCACATTAGTACCTACATGAACAAGAAGTTCCTGGGATGTGTACCTAATGCCACCCCCCATCAGCACACCATGGGCCCATTTGACGATAAGTGCAAGCAGGCAATGTTTGTTCTCGGTGCTTCCACACATAGATACAACCATCATGATGATGTAGGTAGAACTGGGATTTGTCTGATAACACATCATGGTGGCACTCCTATGTCCAGTATAATTGTTTATTGCACCACTGTAGGAATACATGTTTTTGCTTCAGTGTCAAGGGAAGATGCAACAATGGTCAATGTGTTTACTGTCCCAAGTGCTGCAGATATCATCACATTTTCCATGTGGACACTTGTCATCCTATACAACATCCAAGTTCCAGACTCAGGGCTTGTGACACAGCTGCACAATACCGTAAGACTGAGAGGACATGTTGGACCTCTCTGGCATTAGTAGCCTAGGGCCAATGAGATCTTGCATGATGTTCGGTTAGGTCCTCTTGGATCCATCCGTTCTATATTCTATATTCACGGGTTCCCGACTAGCATATAGTAATAGATGTTACAGAACAATAAAACTGCAGTCCCAATAGGGCACGCTCCTGCTGCAATTGAAATCTGATGTGAACTGGTAGGAGTTTTTCCTTCTTACATGAGGTATAATGAGATCTTTGCACTAACAAGTAATGCTCAAATGCAGTTTCCAAATGAGAAAGTCATTATATAATCTTCCTATTTATATACAGTGTAGATGCTGTTCTCATACCCGTTTTGTATGTGTGGACTGGAATGCTCATCATTTGCATATCCCAGAATGTTTGCATCCCAATCATTTACATACTCAGCTTTCATGCAAATTTGACATTCACTGCATGCCACCTTCATGGTATAGCAATCTGAATGTAATGGATTATTATTACTATAGTTAATAATCAGAAAATGTCGAAAAAAAATATTCAAAATTTTAACAGCATTTTAAAGGACTGAGACTTTAATTTTTAACATAATATATGTATATTTTACAAAAATACTATTGCCTAAATGAATCAAAATATGCTTGTAAAAAGGATTTCAGATAGTTAAAAGAGTCAGTTTTTTTCAAAAACAGCACAATATCTTTTCTGAATCACTAACAATCATCACTTGTTTTTATTAAAAAATTATTTATTTATAACAATTATTTAATTTATTATTTAATTAACAATTATTTATTATATATTACTTGTTATATAATAAATAATTATTTTATTATTAATTATTATATAAACATTTGTTATTTGTTTATTACCTATTTTGTATTTGTAAAATATTTATGAAATTGAATTTTATGGTATGATATTTAATAAATAAAGGTAATGCACAAAATGTTAAAAAATGCACCTTTGGGCGTAATATAAAATCCAAAAGCTAAAGATAATTTTTTTCCTTTTTAAAATTAGTAACTGAATACCAAAGAGCACAGTAAACTTTTATATTGATATTATGTTTGTCTATGATTACAGACTTCAGTTAACTCTTCTGCAAAATGTTGAGTGTGCTGACAAGGAGAAATTTAACAGAAATTTCTTTTCCTATCGAAAAATTGGTTTTGTAAATGATACTCATGCCCTAAAGATTACATTTAATGCTGCTTGAATTGAGAGTCGAGATTTGTCATTAAGACCAAGATCAATGCCAAAGCTGATGCGACCACAGAAAAATTTTTAGAACTTATAGAAGCAATGAACAACAAAATTAAAGATGACGAAATCTTATGAATTTAGGGAAGATACTGGAATGCAAGATTTAGAGTGGCAAAAGTTTTAGAATTTAGGGAGAGGCTTGCCAGTGGAATTTCAAACCCACAAAGACTGCACCTGGCTTCAAAATATTTAGCACCTGCCCCGAATAAGCCTTAAGCATATGCAGAAAATAGACATATTTGTAATACATAAGTAATGTAATTCTGGTCTAACTTCCATAGTACATGATTAAAGCAAGAGAAAATTTAGTGAACCACACGTTTCTAGTCGTTAATTTCATGATATATCAATGACAGTGTATAGCACTAGCTAAGCTTTATGATGAGAGATTTATTTTGAAGTTTCCAGTAAGACAAAATTTTCCAATTAATGGAATTTGTGAAGAAATGCAGAGAAGAGGTACTAAATGAAGATGAAACAACAGAAGCTTTTCATTGTGATGACAATGTCCCAATCATTAATCAACTAATCTGTAATATAATTCTAAATCCAGAAAATATTGCAACCAACAGTGAAGAAAGTAGCACAGAGGTTGTGGAGTATGAAAAAATTTCAACCGACTACTTAGTGCGAATTCTAGATGTGGCAATTACAGGACTTGAACAATGGGAACTTTGTCTCTGAATAAGAAATTATAGCTATCTGTAAAATTAAAAAGAAATTACCAGGACAAAAAAATAAAGCAAAGAAATAACTTACATCGAAAGAAGTGTTTAAAAGAGTTTATTTTTTTTGGGGGGGGTCAGTTTTGATTTTCTTAAGTCCATAAATGCTTCATTATTTCATAAATCGCTATTTCATATTTCTAAATGTCATCTTATGATATTTAAACTGATGGTGTAGTATCTAGAGAAAACCCGACCAGTCCAAATCTCAGACTTGTACTATACAGATATCATGCCTGTACATAATTACACACGTGTCAGTGAAAAAGTAGCATAATTAATGTACTTGTGAAATACACAAAATCAACCCATTATATTTAGTAAAAGTAATTATTACTGAAATTTATTAATGAAATTTGAATTTGTCTTTCAAAATGTAGAGGTATTATTACAACGTAAATTCTACATAACTTAGTAACTACTAGCTTATTTGATTGGCAAACTTCCTAAATGCATGTTCTAACTTATATATAAATCCAAAGTTAGAAGTTGGATCAAATGATATTTTATACGTGATGTGAACAGTGATTATCATGTAGTGGATTGTTAAGAAAGCTATTTTAACTAGTGTCCTTGAAAATGTAAAAACAACTCTTTCTTGATGATAATGTCATTTGCAGCTAACAGTAATTCATAAATAAATAAGACAAATTCTCGTGGAATAAAAAAAATATGTGGAGATGCTAGATATTTTCCAAGCTAGAGCAAGAGCATACATGATTCTGTATGCTAGCCTGCATACCAAATGAGTCTTTACAAGATGGGTGCCAAGAGTTCTAACACCTGAACAGAAGCAGGTGCAAATGTATACATGCCAGGAGTTTTAGAATCTGGTAGCAGAGTGTAATGAAACCTATTTGAAATCTACCAAGTTCATTTCGCAAGACAAGGTAATGGTAATTTTCTTGTTTGGTTTACCATGGAGTGGCTTATCAATGTGAAATGACACGGCATGCACTAATTATTGGAGAATGTTATGGTCCAAGTTCAAAGACCTTGACCAAACATATCCAATAAAAACACTTTAAACTACATTATCTAGTTGCTCTCATGTTTCCAATGTTATTGTATAATATTTGATCTAGAAAAAGCCTCAATATTTACCATATAAAGCCCAAAATTAGTTCTATGTGATTTCCTTTCATTGTCTGAAAGGAAGATACGATTCTGAAAACATAAAAACACGAGTTTCAGCAAATATTCCAGAACTCGCACGTGTGTATAAACCTCAGTGGGAACTATCAAGGCAGGGGGGGGGATATGGCATAAAATGAACAAATATAAAAAAAATCTGAAAGGTTTCAGATTTTAAATTACGTCCGAAGGGGCGTTTCTTTAACGTTTTGCGTGTTACCTTTATTCATTAAATATCATGTTCTTTGCACTTAAACCATAAAATTCAGTTCAGTAGCAATGTCGCAAAATAATTTTAAAATGAGCATATCTTCAGAATTTCCGATACACAGTTCCGCACCCGCTGGAAATAAAAAGTCCCCCCCCCCAGCTATAGAGTGTTGCCATTGCTCGCTTTTAAATCGTTGAGTTTGTTACTCAAAAATTCACTAAAGTTTCACAAAATATGACTCAATAATAAAACAAATTCCAAATTTGGTCTTCCACATGCCCATATTTCGTAGGAGGATTACGTCATTTCAAATTCGATGGCTCTATGTACCGTTGTTTTATCTCAATGCAAGAAATAGACATACATTCATGCAGATTTTTCCTTATTTAATTTCTTCAAATATAATGTAAGACTCTAACATTTGAAAAGTGAAATGGACATTTATAGCAATTCAATGCAAAATCGCAAAACTAAAACATTATTCCTTCAGGGACAAAGCCCCTTTGGACTAATAATGCTGCATAATATATTTTATGACTGTTAATTTCTTCTAATTCTTTTCTGACATGTCCTACTAATTTACTTGAAATAACATTTCATGAAGTCAATGTTTGAGGTCAGTTTTAAAAGGAATTCTATTTTATACAGTCAAAAGTCGTTAATCCGGACACCCATAATCCAGAATGATCTATAATCCGGACCTCACAGCTACAAACTTTCTGCACATGCATCAACACATAATGCGTTCATGCATGCGCATATGCATGTGTGCATAATACGTTTATGCATGCGTGTTTAATGTATAACGGATGGTATAAGCTAAGCTAAAATTATCTAATTATCTATCTTAGTTAATGTTGCAGATTCCATTGTTCTTTAATCTTCGAATTGGATCCGGCTTATTATTTTTTGCAGAGTGTCAGAGCAATTTTATAAAAGTCAGCTTGAACTTTCGATTATGTCAAATAGAATTTCCGATTCTGGAGCTGCCAAAGGATCTATCTACAAAGCGAAAGCATGTTTCGATGTCCATCAAACTAAAAGTGGAATACGTAAACGCTGCAAAAAATGGATAAAGGCATATTCTTTGTTTCTCTAACCATTCTGAAATCTGTTTATCAATTTCACGCTGTTCTGTGGGCGTGGAGGGGAGAAACGTCGCGGCACGCAATGAACTGGAAGTTGATTTGTCAGCACTATCCTTATCTACTGGGCAGATGTTTTATTTTAGTCTGCTTATAATTCCTTACTAAATGTTGTATTTCATCTCGATGTACTCCGTCTTTGATATGATTTAAATCAAATTCCACGTCATTATAAATATCATGAATACACATCAAATAGTTTTCTGGTTGCAATTTTCTAATTTCGACTATGCATAATGCATGCTTTTCTTTCAACGCACGCATGAAAAAGCGCGTTGAAAGAAATGTTTAATAAAGTAAACAAATAAATATTAAGCTCTTTTTTTTTTGTAAATGTCGATACCCTTTAGATCATAATTGCACTTTATTTCATAAATTATGGTTTCATATTTTTAATTTTACAATTTCTGCATTCCATCTTACCAGATTTAAATTGATGATCTATGATCCGGAAAAAGCGATAATCCGGAATCGCCGAAGTCCCGACGAGTCCGGATTAAAGACTTTTGACTGTATATAAAATATATTTTCTTTCTTATATTATTAACAAATATACAATCAATAATTCATTACCTGCCATTTAATGACGAAACTGTTTTATCAGACCGCCTGTAGAAAAGGCACTGACAATCCCCTCCAATGCCACATGACATTGGCTGAATAACAGAAACAGCAGCAAAAGTTGCAACTGCAGCATCTGCAGCATTTCCACCCATTTTCAAAATATCTAAAAGCAAAAATATCAGATAATGAAATATGAGAAGTATAATGATAAAATACTGTACATTTGCACAAAAAAATAAAAAGAGTTTTTTATACATTTTACTTTTGAAAGAGTCATTTGATTTCAGTACTTATGTATTATCCTGTTGATCGTGAATCTATTGTCAAGCAGCATGATTTAGCATTAACTACAGAGAAACATGATTTAACAACACTCGGAACATCTGGGCTTTCATTTGATTAACTCTCCTGCTTAATTCTTGATTAGCCACTCCTTGTTTTTATTGAACAAGGAAAGTAACTGTTAGTGTTGTATTTTCTCTTACATTCTGTTTTCTATAGAACAACAAACAATGAATTATTTTCAAAGTTATGGGTTTTACCTTTAAAAAATAAATGTATTATTGGATATGACATGGACGACATGTCAACCAGTATGATATTATATGGTCAACTGGATATAACTAAACAGTAACAGACTGGAACAAGTACTTGCAGGAAGTTTATACCAATAGTTATAGAATTTTCTAGTGTGTTTCGGGATCATCAACTGTAAAGAACCTACTGACTAAATAGTGAATTCTTGCTAGGTTTTGAAAGAACAGATAACTGCAGAAGAAGGTTGTAATAACCTTTTTATATTAACTAAATAAACAAACGTACTCACTCAGTGCTCAGAATTTAACTATACTAGTGGCTCATAACTTAAACAGTAAAATAAGATGTACAATCACAATAAACTAAAACTGGCTCCTTCAAGCTATTACTTGATCTTTATATCAAACGACTCACTTGTAAGAGTTAAAATAGTTCTGTTTATTCCTTGAAAGGGTGACTGCTCTCTTTTTGAGAACTGAATTTAAAACTTCCAACTAGTTGGACTTTTGAAATATGCCAAAAATGTCCAGGTTTTTACTTTTAACTATACTGCAGTGTCATTAAATGATAAAATTAAAATAAAACAACAAGTTATTTTGAATTCAGTGAAGTTGTACTACTTAAAGATTGAATTTTATGGAAAGAAATTTGTATGCAGTGTAGAGTTTGCTAAATTCTCTGATGTTTTTTAAAGTTAAAACAGATCACTTTGTGTATGGGAAGAACAGCAGGGAAGAAAAAAAAGGGAGTTTTATTACGGATGTGTCTTACATTTTTTAATTATGTTAATTTTTTTTTTATGTAATTCTTAGAGCAATGCCATTTTTGAAAATGGCTGTTATTTTTCATGTTTAAGCTTACATTTTCATTGGTTTAGTTTGTTTTAAGTGATTATGACAAAGACAAATACTACAAGCAATTCTGCATAAGTACTAAATAATTACATTCATAAATATGCATATATAACAAAATGTAATATTGTAAATTTCTAATGCATGTAAAATATTTTAAGGCAAACTGTAAATTGTTCACTAGTTCTAATGTTCCAAACACGGTTACAGAAAAACTGTTTATTATCCAGCAATTAAAACAATTGCTTGAAAAATTTAAGAATATGCTTTTAATATAAGATGAATATTACATATGTAAGCAGGTTTTATATAATCATAAACATAAACTTATGAAAGATGATACTAGACTGATAAATATATATTTCATGTTAAACATTTTTACCTAATCCAATGCTCGTTGCTTGGGCTTGATCGCAGGATATTGCTGTATTTTTGGAAATGATAGCAGAGTGCCGATTCCACACATCCATTTCTTTTTAACAAACTAAACTGAAACAAAGATAAGAAAATGTAAAAATAATACTGCAATAAAAAATATTATATATTGATTGTAAGTACCAGCCATGGGTTAAGTGCAGAATCGCCCACTTATTTGTTTGGCGCTTTTTATAAGAGTAAGAAGAATTGGATTTTTGCCAATTTTCTTTGACTATTTTTAAGTGAAAATAGGTCGATGTGTACATGGATAAAGTCGAGGGAATGCGCAATGCCATTTTTGTGTAATTCTGAGATATTTTTTTAAAGTGAAAATAGGCTGATGTGTACATGGATACCGAGTATGTGCAATTCTTAAAAACGTATCAAGTAGTGGGCGATTCTGCACTTTCCCCCTATTCTCAATGAATTATAGCATAGAAAATTAAAACTATCCAAAAATTTAAAATATATATACATTTGTCATAAGAAAGAAGGATGATGGAAAAGTGAAAAATTTATTTAGAAAATTGCAATTTTCCATTAAAAATGTAAAAAAAAATCAATTTTTTAATAGTTGGCCTTTGTTTTCCGTTTTTTTTTTTTTTTCCCATAAAAATCCACAGCTTAAATCAGTACTAATTAACAAAATGGTTACATTAAGATATTGTTAACACTTCAGTACTTACTTACTGTTCCGTTGACCGTTGGCGGAAATTTTGGCAATGGTCGGCAATAGCTACAGCAAAATTATAAAGAAAGTGGTCATACATGGTTGGTGCTAAATCGTGCTCAGCCGGTCGAAGGGATAATACGTAAGTAGCAAAATGATAATACTAACGCCTAAAACCATGTTAAATATAGTCAGCCTTTATTAATGACAGAAATGGAAAGTTAGAAAATAATAATAATAAAAAAAGAAATTAAATATCCATAACTTATACACACTCCCATTTTCATCTCACTTTTAATTCAAATAACAAATGATAATGCTACAAATTTTTATTATATTTATATACAAATTTTTCCTTATTCTGTGAAATATTATTGTATTTAAATTCATAACATACTGTTTAAGATTTCAAATAACTACAATTTTATGCTATTACTTCACAACATTTTTCAAAACATATGGTCATGGTAACAAGCTTCATCTACATACAATCAAAATTATTATTTTTCTGATCTACCTTTATATATAAACACAGCATATATAATGTAAATAAAATATTTATTGTTCATGAACAGTAATATATGAAAAATAACTTGCATGCAGCTATTATACTTTAGGTTTTGCTAATTTATACATAATTCATTTTAAATCTAATCATTTCTGTTCATGAGGAAATATTAAAATCCCCCTTCGATTGCAGTGTTTACAATTAAGTGCATGAGACATATTTATTAAACAAATAGGTTTAATCCTAGTATTCGGTGCACACGGGATTTGGCTACTTTTGGCGACTTTTATAATAAGCAGTAAAAACGGGACATACACGATAAGTAGTAAACGGGTATTCAAAGAATATATATAGTTACACATAGTATATACTATGTATATAGTGTACTATCACTATACAGTGTTTCACAAAAGTGATGGGACACTTGTGCTTTACAAAAGGAAACTGTAGTAAAATAAATTAAGAAAACATGTAAACATTTTTTGTGGGTGTGTTTCATACTTAAATTTAGTAACAATTATTACATAACACACATTTTCTCAAAATATTAATTTAATAAAAATATAATTGTTTAGAACGGAGCAAAAAATGGCTCACATAAGTAATGGGACACTTACTTTTCCATCAAATATTTATCCAAAAATTTTACTTTTTAACAGGTTTTAATATTTTGTTGGATTTCCTTTTACTTTTAAAACATGATTTAATCTTCTTGGAATGGATTCGACTAATTTTTTTGTGATTTCTGGAGTGATTTTACCCCATTCTTCTTGAAGCACCGATTTTAATTGTTGTTTTGAAGAAATGGTGTGTTTGCGAATTCTTGCCAAATATTCTCTATGGGATTTAAGTCTGGAGATTGTGGTGGTGTTTTTATTATTTCAGGATAGTTATACAGCAGCCAGAGTCTAACGTTCAAAGCAATGTGCTTGGGGTCATTGTCCTGGTAGAATTTAAAATCGTTATGAAGGTTCAATTTTCGTGCTGAAGATTTCAAATTTTGATTTAAAATGTCAATATACTTGTACCGATCCATTATACTGTCAATAAAAACAGGATTACCAACTCCAGCGGACGACATACACCCCCATACCATAACTCCTCCTCCATCATGTTTTACTGTTGGCACCAAGTTCTGTTTACAAAATTCTTCCCTGGGTTTTCTCCACACCAAGATTCTACCGTCAGAACCAAATATATTAAATTTACTCTCATCAACAAATAAGACTTCATTCCATTAATCAGAATTCTTATTTATGTTGGATTTTGCGAAAGCCAGTCTGAGTTTTCTATGCTTTTCACTAATGAAGAATTTTTTCCCGACTGCTCCACCGTGATATCCAGCAGATCGAATTACTCTTCTAATAGTCTCAGGATTAACAATTACTTCATATAATGCTTGTAAACCAGCAGCAACTTTAGAAGCAGGATTCTTGGATTTTTTTTAATATTTCGAAGGATAATTCGCTTTATTCCATTGGATAGCTTTGATGGTCAGCCAGGTCTTCTTTTATCCTGAATCATATGATTCTTTTTATATCGTTTAATGATCTTGAAAACTGTTGAATGACTCAAGTTAACTGTTTCAGCAGTTTTTCTTATAAATTTTCCATGTTCAATATGCAAATTAATAACTAATTTTCGAACTTCAGGCAAAATTTCTTTTCGTTTAGCATTCATGGCTGCACAGAGCTAAAAAACACAAAAAATCCAAAACAAAATAGAGAAATACTGCAGACGATTTTATAAATTATTGCCAATTGCTTTTGAGAAAAAATAAAAACCCCAAAAAATATTTTTATTGTAGTACATAGTAGTATCTAATGTTGTCCCATCACTTATGTGAGCCATTTTTGCTCCGTTCTAAACAATTGTATTTTTATTAAATTAATATTTTAATATTTTGAGAAAATGTTTGTTATGTAATAATTGTTACTAAATTTAAGTACGAAACACACCCACAAAAAATGTTTACATGTTTTTAAATTTATTTTATTACAGTTTCCTTTTGTAAAGCACAAGTGTCCCATCACTTTTGTGAGACACTGTATATACATAGACGTTCTTTTGGTAATTTTTGGTGTTGGCGATAATTTTTAAAATCGCGCCAAGGCTGCACCGTATACTAGGATTTTACCAAACAAATAATTACAATAGCTGCACAGCTTGATGTTCTTTAATAATAATGCAAATGTGTGAATTCAAAGCTTCAGTATTCCAACCAGCATTTAAGTGGAGAAGCCTGTAATTATTAGACAAATTAAAAGCAATTATAAAATGGGAACTCACTTTATTCTTCAACATCTCCTGCATAGCCAGTCTCGGTTTTATAAAAAATTTCATGGTTATAAATTTAGCAAAAAACAAATCGAATTTACATCTGCATAAGGCTGCTTTTCACACTGTAATTCTCTTACCAATATTTTGAAATTCTTCACAACAAATTTTTACTAATTCCTGCAACGAACTGAAGATAATTTTTTAATTAATTTTGCCTCAGTTATCCTGACGAAGGCAATATACAGGGCTTTCAGTTATATCTACTTAAAATAACTCGTTTCTACTTTTGATCACTTCCGAAAACATTCATTCTCCCACTCTTAATGCCTGTTTCCACTTTGGTTTCGCTGAACTTCAGTTCCACTATCTCAGTTATAAACCCTCAATGCAAATTCTAATAAATTCTTATTTCTAACAAAAATTCTTCCAGCTGGTTATAAAACCTCATGAGGATACACGCTTGATTACCTATTCTTGTTAAATCCAAACATATCCATCATTCTCAAGCATATGTATGTCTGTGTCTATGTCATAACGCAATTAAGAGGCAATCGGCCTAGTGCGGCCTTTACCAATATATTACAAAGAGGGTATTTTTAATGATGAGTTGAATCCAGTAAGATGGAACGTACTTTTTACATCTAGTGCAGACTCTAAAAGAGAAGTAAACATGGCGCCATCTTTTGGCAAAAATTGTAGTGAGCGTGCCTGAGGACCGAACCCACAATGTGAAGATATGCATGCATCTTGAGGATTTGCGAATTAATCTTGATCTGCAAAGCTCAAAATAATCTCTAGGCTAGACAAAGTTATCTATCTAAAGCTAGACAAAGTTTCTGCATGCTTGATTTAGCTGATTTAATTCTCTGAGCTATTGTGGTTATTGATTTCATGAGATAAAAGGTTTTCTGATCTTTGAAAATGTTAATGATTTCTGCTAAATTTTCCTGCGGTTTTTTCTGCTTAATTTTGTCACTGTAAAGTTTTTAGGCATTTCTTGATTAGTTTGGGCTGAAGCTTTAATGAATTCGGGAAAGTCATCTTTAGAAGAAATTTCTTGTGGTTTTTCTATCTTCTCTAAATGATTGAATCTTTTTCTGTATACTTTGCAAACACGATAAGAACAAACATGATTTTCGTGACAGTAAATGCAAGTTGATTTTTCATCTGGTTTTAATTTACAGGTATTGGATCTACGATTTTTTCCGCACTTACAGCATCTGACCTTTTTAAAGCAGTTATTTCGGTAGCGCCCGAACTCCTCTCAATTGAAACATTGAATTGGACGTTTTCTGGGCTGATATTTTTCTATATCCGAACATACTGTTTTATTAGTGAATTTTCTCTCCTGCAAAATTTCTTTTTAGTTCAAGGAAAAATATAGGTAAACGGATAATTTGGTGTTCTGTTTTCTTCGTGTAGTCTCAAAGGTTATTTTCCTAGAGGAAGTGATGCCTTCGTAGAGGTCTTTCTAAGGGAACTGGCTCGTATACATGTTACACATGGGGAAAACTACGGAGGTTCATTCAGCCAGATCGTTCGAGGAATTCGAACCTCGGACCATGTAATTCATCAATACAGTTCATGTAATTGATCAATAGAGTTCGGTCCGAACTACCAGTGTTCAGCGACTTTACCACTCTGCCGCTAGTGGGACCCAGATGGATTCGGGAACGATCAAAATGGACATTTCCACTGAAAAATGATAACCGAAGTTTTTCGCGATTACGGTACTTTCTTTACTTCGTACAAGGAAATAAAAAAGATAATTTTTAATTTCATCCAAAAGCTTTGTGTTCAAACAAATGCTACCTAAACAATGAATTATTTTATGTTCTAGAATTCAAATATTTAACAATATTTGAGAGCATTTTTATAACGCCGTTCATCACAATGTCATATTCTTCCAATAATTTGACATCAGATAAAAAATTAGCTATGTATGTAACCATTGTTATTTTTTCCTAAAATAATCTGGATTTAATCTCTTTAATACTAACTGAAATTGATTTCATCTTTTACAGATTTTTCCAATATTTGATCAATACAGTTATTTGCTTCCCAGTTTTTCTTTTCAGTACAGCTTGTGATATGATGAGAAATTCTCTCTCGATTCCCCCCCCCCTCTAATGGGTAATGTTTGCCAGTGCTATAGTCCTGCCAACCACATTATCCTTATTTGAAATTAAACAACACGGTTCTCAATAATCTTTGTTAAATTCAAGTGAATTGCAAAGCAAAATCTGTCTCTAAAACGGAGTTATTAATCATTGTAATGAAAAAATAAGTGAGAAAATGATCTGCTGTCTTTATTTTGGGAAAATCGGTATCTTTTGGTCTACAAAGGCCAAAATTTAAAATAAATCGTTTCTTATCTTTTGTAAGAATTTCTGGATAATGACCAAAATCGGATGGATATCTTTCATTTTTTACATCTCTAAAAGCGGTTGGAATATTGTCTGACTTTTCATCACTTTAAATGATTGTAGCTGAAATATTTTCTGATAGTTCCGCCTTCTTCAATGATTTCAGTAGAAATATTTTCTAGTACGTTTTTAATTCTTAAAATTATATTCGAATAGTCTGATGCTGCATTTAAACGTTCGCAAATTTCTGATGGCTGTTCCTGTGACCTCAAAGCTGATGCCTGATGTTGTTCTTGACTAGAATTTCCAACTCGGAAATACTGATCTGCAGTTTTGATTTTCTTTAATTGCACATTCAAAAGCATCGCATAATTCTTTTTTCTTCTTTCTTTTTTGCGCCTCATTTAAAGCCTTCTTCTCCATGTTATAAGATTTGTTGTCTTCGGCCTTCCATGTTAATCGCCGATACTGAATCTCCATGTCGTTTTATTTTTTAATTTTCTTATACTTTGATGCTGAGGAAATCTTTAATACATGAAAGTGCTTTTAAAATAACGTAAAAGTTCAATAATTAGTATATATAACATTTGTGCGGATAAACTTTATAATGTACCATATACCGAAGTAAAACAAAAAAATTAAATACAAATATTAACTGCTTAAAATTTCGAATAAGATTTCATTATCATAAAATTATATACACGAACGCTAGTACTGAAATTAATGCGCGTCAAAGTTATAAGCTATTACAATCTGACAAACGAAAAAAAGTTCAAAACTGTGAAAGAAATAGGAAACATGAATAGAAAGCAAGGAAGAGGAGAGCTAATTTCAAACTTTTATTCCAGATAAACCATTGTCGTAAGATTTATGCAAATAAATTAATTGCATAACCAAGCTTTAAAACAATAACTGGTGTAAAGTCAACAGTGCGCAAGAGAAGTAGTAATTCTTATTCTCAGCCAACCCACTCTTTTTGTATTTACGAGAAAATACGACATGTGGCCACAATATAAAATCGTTTCCTAAAAGTGAGAATTGTAGTGGACTTCAAGAGTCCTTCATTTTTGCCGTCTTTGTAACATGCTCTCCTCAAAAAATTAAGGACTTGTTCTCACAATAAACCCGAGAAACAGTCTGTTCCCAGGTACCACTTGAAAACTCTCCTGCTGTTGTTGTTGTTATTTAGGCTCAGTTGCCGTAACATCAGCCCAAGCTCATTAAATACCTCGGGGCAAGGAGCGCTAGTTTACGCCTGTCGTTGGCAACAGGCGCTTGAGCACCTTACAGGTGACAGTGCGATTTTGCTTAGTTCTGCCCCCAATTTTGATGGAGAGCACCCTCCCCTTCTTCCACCAAACCACACGAGAGGACTTTCGGCTCGCCGCATATTTAGAGTGCCGCCATGCCGCACCGACAATTATACATTTACAAACATCCATGCTTTCCAATCTCCGGGATTCGAAGACGGGCCCTTCGGCAAGGCAGTCAGCGACGTTAACCACTATACCGGTTGGGCGGCGAAAGCTCTCCTCTAAAAGGGAATCAAAATAAAAGGATATAGCTTTTCTGCTTTGAGTTCATTTGAAATTTTATGTGTGTAACACTGAATTTTTATCTGCTTCCAAGAGCCCCCTAACTGTGTCATAAGACTCAGAGGACGTCTAAAATAGAATAGAATGTATAATAGAATCCGTCTTTGTTTAAATTTTTAGACGCCCTCTGAGTCTTATGACACAGTTAAGGGGCTCTTGGAAGCAGATAAAAAAGCTGAATTCAATGTTACACACATAAAATTTCAACTGAATACAAAGCAGAAAAGCTATATCCTTTTATTTTGATATATATATATATATATAATATATACTGAATAAAATTGATTATATTATCTCCTAAGATTAATTATAGTAGAATGATCTGAAAAGTGTGAATCCGTACTTAGTAAGTTCTATTTCGAAAGATGCTTTTAAGTAACTTGAATGTAAATTGTTAAAAATGTTTAACGGGGACTGGAATTAAATCATGAATAACAATTTTAAAAGGAATAAATTAAAAGCAAGAATTAAATGAAAGTAATCATTTTCATTGATCGGAAATTAGTTGACTTTTCAAGGGGAACAAGCCAACTCCCGTTCAATGAACAATAATTAAGAAATAAATACGAAGGTGTTTCGTCCTTTACTCGAGCAATAAGGTGAAGTCAAACCGGCAATTCAAGTCAAGCCAAACATTTCTGTGAATAGAAGTGATTAAGAACCAATGCAGAGATCCAAAGAACTTATTCCGATTAAGTATTTTAGCTAATTCAATTTTGAGTGAAAAGCAATTGCAGTAAAAGTGATATCGCTCGAGTAAGCATTCCCTGACACCCTCGTGTTTATGCATTTGAGTTCAATATTATTTGTAATATATATATAGTATTTATAGAAGAATTCATCGTCTTTTAAGTTTAAACCGAACATGATCTTAGCCAAAAGGTTGTGCAGCGGCAGTGCCAAACAGGCGATACACACTCAAAAACTCTAGAGAAAAATGCCAATTGGCGAACATACTTGTTTTGGGGACACTTCTGTTTTTCAGTTTTATTTACAAATATCGGTTAATAAACATTAGCAATTTTTTTCCGACATATGTTATTGATCATCTAGTTTAAAAACCTGTTTGTTTTGAAAGAAGTTATTTGTTTTCCGTAAAAGAATAATTTATTTGAAAAATTCAGAAAATGAACGCACATAAGTATTCTGACATTTTAAATAAATAATTTATATTTACTAAAAACATGAAATAACGGGACATTAAATATTTCGATGGACATCCTTTAGCTGTTATGGATGTTTATAATGCACTTTGGCACATATTCAACTAATTTTTTCATGTAAGAATCTTCCATTTCTCTGTAAGAATTGCTTTCAGTAGAACTTTTGAAAAAATATCATGCTTTCTTATTCTTATCTTCAATTTATTCCTTACATGTTCGATAGAAGTAAGTTCAGAGAATATTTAGGAGTTTTGGCAATTTCTGGTCATTTACCAAGACTTAATTTCTAAAATTAGAAGTGTCGGAGCCCTACAGTAGACCGTCAGGAAAGAGAAACAGGAATAAATAAATAAATAAAATGACTAATAAAATTATTAATCATTAAAAAAAATTAAATAATTAATGATTAAAGTAATT